AAATGTGGAAGTATGTTACTCACATTTCTAAGCTCTCCAATTAAAAACATACAATTTGTATATGAAGTTTAACATCTTTAAAAGATTAACCTTTCTATTATGAAAAGAAAACTCTCTTAAGGTCCAACAATGTTTTCATTAGTATATAATAACCTTAAAATAACAATTCTTGTGTTTCCGTTACCTTCTAATGAGTCATTTTTATCTACAGATGCTGGGGGTCACCTTCCATGGAGACCACCGCATTGAACTGCCATGTTTCTAAAGTAGCCCAGAATGGACAAACCAAAAACTGGATCTCGATCACTAGCTGCTGCTGAATCCTACACACTGGTTATTTACATTCAATAATATTGTTGAGCAATTAATTGATTGTGGGGATGGAGGAATTTGATGATATCAAAGACTGACATCTGTCTGTCAAATTACCCAATATTTAGTGTTAGTGTAACAGCCAGTAATTGGCCTGTAAATTTACATACAGTACATGTTTATATTTATTCGTACTACATACACACAATACTTACTTTTCATAAAATTCTACTGTGTCTACTGCTGTTGTGTTAGCATTTACTTTTACTCTGCTCCAGTTGAATAGAAACATGATTATAAACTATTATAAATATATTGGTATATAAAACAAACGCAAAAAGCAAATCAGCTCTTTTCTTATTATATACTTGAATCAATCTGATAACAGCCAATCATGTTTCATAAGCAGGAGGTAAAGGTCTTTGGACCTGAAGACTCTGCAGTCAGTGTTAAGCATGCTAAATATTTAGCTGAAAAATGACTGTATCACAGGAATAGCACACCTAAGCACACTAAATTTAGACCATTTGTTGTGACGTAATAAATACAATTTATTATTTGTGTCGATTGTGTCAAGGACACTTACTTCAGTGAAGGGCAATGACTGGGACTCAAAAACTTGACTCAGGACTTCATAGCCAATACTTGAGACTTGCTTGTGACTTGCAAAACAAGGACTTTGTTCCACCTCTGCAAGTAGGAAAAGTTCACTGTATGTCATGCTGCAATTAAAGATAAGATCGTTTTTTATATCATTTTTGTTGGTTAATTCCTGTTTTATTTTGTAGTTTTCCCCCTTTTGTGTCTTGTTCCATTTCACTTCCTGTCCTTGTCTTTTTCAAGCCATTTTTAATTGCTTGCCCCACCTTGATTGTGTTCACCTGTGTTCAGTTAGTCCCCTCCTATAAATAATATAAATTCCCTGTGTTTCCAGCCATTGTATTCCTAGTGTTCTTTTTTTTGGATTACTACCTGTTTTTGACACTCTGCCTCTTCCCTGTTGGATTCGTTTGCTCATTCTGATTGACCTCCTGTGTACTGACCCTATTTTTGGCTACGACTGATTTCTCATAACAAGATCTTGTCTCAAGACTTGCATTTGAGTCCTATTGCTTGTGTTATCAAAAAAAATTAAAAATACTCTGTTGGTGATTGGATGAACCATCTATCACTGTCTATCATCAGGGAACTTCAACTAATCAGATCAATGAACCATATAATGTACTCTTCCTCAAGCCAGTCGAGAGAAGAACAAAGACATCTTTTTCATCAAGAAAAGCCTTCAGTGCCATTCTTTTCTCTTCTTTCAATGAGAAATGCTCTCCAGTTCTGATATAACTGATGCTAGCAGCAACTACGCTAAGCTCTTTAGCGGTCACTTCTCACTCACATCGTCACTCACAAACATAGCGTGATCTCGGGATTTTGTTATCTTGCAAGGTTAGGTCGAGGGGCCATCCCAGGACAGAGCTTGCCTTCTTAACCAGTCTGTTAAGTCTCTTCCAGTCAGCCGTCGAGGTGCTGCTGCTCTAGCAGACCACTCTGTAGAAGATCGCTGATGCCACGACAGAGTCACAGAATTTGTCCTCAGGAGTGCTGCTAGGGTTGCGACCAGCGTGGAAAAATAAGGGAGACTTTGGCAGCGGCCCATGCTGTGGGGAACACAAATGGGATCTGGGGGTCCTCCCACATGAGATTTTGAGTGTCAGACACTTCATTTCCTGCATTCTAGTTACATCATACAAACCAATTAGAGTTTTTTATGCATCAATTTAAAAGTCCTGCTACTCTCAGCATGAATGTAAAGGAAATAACAGATCATAGACAGGTAAAATGTTTGGTCTGTCAAAATAAAATTCACATTTCTGTGAAACTGTTTAGAACAGCTCTCCTGGATGTCGGCACTGACATGAAGATCAACCTGTTCCACAGTGAAGGAAATGTGAAGAAACAAAAAAAGTGGTAATTTATCTAGGTTGTTTGACCTTTTACGCTGTTGCACTCAAAAAGACCAGAGTCTCCTAAAATAGGTGTTGATTTCCTCAACAATTAGTCAGCATCTCCAAATGAATATGGACTACAAACCTCTAATTTGATGCTACGTTTACATGGATTTTAATGCTGGTGCCAGCTGTTGTATCACCATCTTATTTGCTATGTACAGTTAGACAGCGACATATGCAGTAAAACCAGCAGACAAATACACCGAAATGAATTCCAGAAATTGCAATAAATATATAAAACCCTTTAACTCTACCTTTATTGAGCATGTTTTGCAGCAGATACAGGTAAACCAGGTAGAGCTCAACAACAGCTGTGCTGCTTTCACTTTGAGTGTCTGTCAGTGTGTGTTTACCTAATTCCATAGCCTGAAGTCACATCCTACACACCACATTCAATCAAAAGCCACAAGTGATCAGATAAGCTCAAACCTGGAATTTCCCGTATGTCCTGGAAAATACCGCTTGATGAAAGGTATCATTAGCGTTTATTGTAACCTGAGGTGGTGGTAGTCAGAAACACAGGAGTTACGAAACCTAATTACTCATCTAGAGTCAATAGATACAACTGTGAGAACATTTGCGTCCTGGTATTCGCTTTAAGACTTTTGGTTTTGGAATGCCGCTTGGCCACATGTTCACATTGCAGTTGGTGAAATGGTGCTGTGGAGCTCAGCGAGTGGAGCATGGCAGCAATAGGATGAGGAAGGCTTCAGTTTTATGCATACAGCTCCATGGTGCATTGCCAGGTTTAGAGGTTCAGCTCCCTGTGTAGATCAATGAGTAGAGAAATGCACTAACTCTGCCAGATTTGGGGATTTAAATCACACAATGAGCCATCCATGCTGAAATTGGAGGCACCTGTGGTTTCCATAGTGTGCCTTGAATAAAAAGGCACATTTAATTGAATGTTAAACAGAAAATTTGTCCTGCTCTTGTGCTCTTACATGTTATATCTGTGATGCTCAGTGCTTTCAGGGACTCATTTTGAAAATAGCCTACGTGTTTCTAATTGCATTGAAAACGTATATCACGACACAACTGCTCTAAATCAGTCAGTTCTCGTATTTTCTCCTACTTTGTATATTTTGACTGTTATGCATCGAGGCAGATTCCCTCTATGTGAAAACCTACTTGGCAATAAATGGTCACTGATCACTGCAAGGTACAATGAACTGCAGATGCCCATATCCAAAATGCATTTGCTCAATACCAGACCACTTTTTTTTTTGCATTCTAGAGTCTGTTGCTGTTGTGTGTTATTGAAGGAGCACAGGCCAAAGTTATTCTTGGGCACATATACGGGTCGTCACCCTCTTTGCACATGAGTTATAAAAACTGAAAGAGGAGGAATGAAGAAACACAAACTGGGTGAGAAAATAAACACAATGAGGCTTACAAAAACACATCACATGCGGGAAAAACAATATTTAAAAGGAATTCTTTAATGCTAAACTTAAGAATGTGTCCTTGTGCCACATCTCTGAAACAGCTTAGATTTTGCAGACCACACATCTGCAGTCTCTTCCTGTTGTCATTTTGCCAACAGACTTTTCTGTTTCCTTTAGAGTGATTGTTCTTCTCTGTATTGGGAAAAGAGTTTTGGATGCCTGCTTTGTTTGCCACGTATGTTCATACTATTTCAAGAGTATGTGTGTCAAGACACGCTGATATCAATGGTTCAATGACAGGCTTTTAACCTGGATATTAGCAAATATTTGAGGAAGAAGGAGAAGAAGAATTTTCTCATGCCTTTGCAGCTTGTGTGGTTCTTCCAAAAATCATAATAGCCCGAAGAGTTAGACATGGAAATCGTCTTGTATCTAAGTTCCCCTCTCTGTGTTAGTTTGGAGGCCAAAAGTTAACGAGAACCTTGTGGTTTTAATTGCAACACAGATGCAAGTTTTGTTTCATACAGGACCAACATGTTGAGCCACGATAAAATATTTCGGATCCAAATTTATATTGATATACTATAATTAATTTGTCTATACGTATAAGGTATACAGTGTTAGTGCCTTGCTCATTAAGTACACAGACTACTTTTAACTCTGTACAGTCTGAAGACAAAGTACACTACAATATTTAGTAACTGACATCAACTCTGTTTGTCCAACTACTTTGTTAATGTAACATGATTAAGTATCCTTGTTCAAAAGATGATTCAGATGTTATTGGGCGTGTGCACTGGGACCTCCAAGCTCTGTCCAACAGCTGGTTTTATCTCGGTCATGCGCACGGGACTGGAAACTGCTGAGGCTTTTAAGTGCGGTCGGAAAGATTGTATTCAAACTTGTGCAAACGTGAAGAGACAAACAATTTGTGAACTCTGTGTCGCTATTTCGGTGAGACGTTTAGAGACACAGGATGGCCTAGTGGGTTTCTGCCTTTGGATTCTCACACCGTGTGTTCCTTCCCTTCCTGTATGTGATGCATGTCATTAAGGATGGAAATAAGTATATGTCGTACTTTGTAGATGGCGTTAAGTTTAAAAGGTACTTGAGTTTGTTTATGTTGTGCAACTTATATATACCTCATTCTACTATTAAATGCAGCAGCGTTTAGCCCTGGCGTCGGTGCATTAATAAAACAAGTCATAAGCCATGTTTAAAGTGTTACCAACCACTTTATAATCAACAAAAACTCTCTGCCTTCAGCACTCAGACGTACGAGCTTCCGAAGAGCACTTGAAGGCAGCCTAACTTTTCTAAGGAGTGTGTACTTTTAGCACGGTGAACTATTAGCATCGATTAAAGCTGTCTTCTTAACAGAGTCGGTGAGCGTTGTGGAGCCAGGTTGGTGTTACTGAGGATGTGGGAGAAGAGTGAGTCAAGGGGATGAAGAAACCCCGCCGCTGCTGACGTCGGAGCGGTGATTTCCTTTATTTCGCAGATCAATCAGTTAACTTGGTTGTTTAGGAGGAACTTTGACATGTAGCTGCTCACTCACCGCGGGATGTGCACGTCGTATTCAGCTGCCTGCGCTCCGTGACACTCCTTCGAAGCTATTTATTGTTGAGACTTAACTCTTCACCGAGTTGTTTGCGTGTGTGTGGGGTGTGTGTGTGTGTGTGTGTGGCAAACATGTTTGAAAAGCTGTCACGTTATTTCACCGTGGAAGGTGAGCTTTTCCCCGGGAAGAGTCGGTGGACCTCGGCGGCGGTTGCTGTGGTCCTCCTGGGTCTGTTTGCTTCGTCGTGCTGGGCAGAGGAAGCATCCTGCCACGGAGCCTACGACCTCTACTTTGTTTTAGACAAGTAAGTAGGACAAAAAGTTTTGTTTTTCAGACTGTCCGCTCTTCCTGAAGCTAACACTGGAGGCTCTGTTACCCTTTGTTGTGTGCAAATCTTCATATGTAGTTATTTTTGTTTACCTGTTAGATGCACGCAGGTGTCACACACTTTTCTGTGACCCCTGCTATCCGGTGACCTGATTGTGGGCCACTGCAATAGTTTTTGCATGGTCACATGCTGCATTTTGATAGCTGCTTCCAAACATGGTGATATCATAGTATTAGGTTGAGTAACACATATGGCCAAAAGTATATGGACAGTCTCCACACGTGCAACCGTGTAGATGGGAGGATCCATATACTCTTAATGAAGGGAAGTGTGGATGCTACAGTGGAAATGGCTCAGACATTGATGGAAATGGTTTTGGGAAAGCCCTTTCCTGTCTCAACATGATAATGTGCACAAAGCCGGCAGCATAAAGAAATAGTTTTCCCAGTTTGGTGTGGAACTTGAGTCAATCTCAACCCCCGTCCAACCCCTTTGGGATCAACTGGAGCACCGGCTGTGGGCCTTATCAGCCAACATTAGCGTTGGGCCTCACTAATGCTCATGTGGCTGAATGGGAGCAAATCCCTGCAGCCCGGTTCAACATCCTGTTGCAGCTCCTTAGTGCCCATCATGCTGTAGTAGGTCTGGGAAGCTTCATGAGTAAGCACATTTAGCCCATTTACCACAAGTTACTGTTCACTCCCAAGTACATCAGTTCAAAGGTTTGCTTTGATTTTGATAATAGACACAATTCACATTACACAGAGGATGGATGCAATACAGTAAGTATAGAGACTACAGCATGAAAAAAAAACACCTGTACAGGCCCTCATAGTTGGAAAAGGTGTGCATGTTCATGCCTAACTTTCTGAAACTGGTCCTGATTCAGTCAGGCTTATGACCGCTCAGATCTGAGAGATAACTGAGGCCTTACAGGTGTCAACCAAAGACACCCACTCTGACAAACATCAAGGAGCGGCATGAGTCTTACCATGAACACACTGATTCCAAGTAGTTTTATGTGGTTAACCAAGCCTTAACCATGCTGTCTTTAAAGGGTTTATCACATGGTATCACAAGGTTTGTCCATGTATTGTTTCCTTTACATGGGTCATGCTGCCAGTGTTAGGGAGTGACCATGAAAAAGGAAGACTGGTTTGTCATCTCTTCCTGCCTTACAATAGCAAAGAAAACGCTTACTACTTTAAAATACTTTTATAAATAGGTTTAACCATGTTTTGTGAAGTGTAGATCATTCCATTATTTAGGCATTTATGGAGATGGGAATAGCCATTATCTTGTCCTATGGGATCAACCAAGAGGAATTTTACCATTGTCACATATCACCTTAACATATGACCATTTGAGCCCTTGAACATCACCAGAGAGAAGGCCTTAAACATCTCCATTTTTTTTTTTTTTGTTATTCCTGCAAACTATCAAGAAATAATTGCATCACCATTTAGAACAGAAGTTGGCAGTGTACCACTTCCTGTGTTTTTTATGCACTCATAGCGCTGCTTCAGACATCAAACATACAGACACTGCACAGCCAGATTCAGTCAGTTCAGCAAAACCTTATAGCGCTGCTGTGGTGTCATGCAAAAAGACCTCCAATATATTATGCAGAGTTTACAGCTTTGACAGCAACTGTTTTTAATCCTGTCCTCCCCCGGCTTGGAAACGTGCCATTTCTCAGGGCCGTTGAGTTGAAACACTGCTCCCCTGACCCATTTTCGAACTACCCCACCCTCATCTAAATTGCAAAATTACAGGATGATGACTGAGATTATTGGTAGTATTACGTTTGGTCAAGAACATAGATCTTAGTTTACTCTTCCTTTTTATTTTTTTTTATACATTTGTAGGTTGAGGGTTTGATTTAAATATGCATGTTTATGTTTGTGAAATATAAAAGCCTAATCTGCAGTTTTGGGTGTCAAATAGTTGCGTGTCTCTTTTCCTGGAAGTTTACTGTGCCCTTGCAGATAATAGCTCCACTGTCAGATTTCCTGATCCTACCGATAAGACTAAGGTCCTAATGTCAGCAGTTTGAGTTGCAGATTTGTTGCTGCAGTAATCTGCAACTTTTCTGTACAAACAAATGTCCATTTTGGTGTTCCAAGTGTTGATGTTTCACGTTGAGGCCAGTTCATGCAAGCTGTACTGATAGATATCAAATAGTCACATGGAATTAAGTTCTAGGCGATGTTATTATTGTTACTGTATCGATGTTACAATTATTGTTATATTTGCAAATGAACACCTCAGTATCAATATATAACTTAACAATATAACGAGAATGAAACTCAAAATAATATGTATTGTGATTATGAAGAACAAACAAGCTGAATGATTATTTCCTAATTTAATTGATCTAGAGCACTCAAATATGCTTTGAAAAGTTTATCTCAAAGAGTAACTTAACACTAAATTCCCTTTTTCTTTTAGTTAAATATGTACTCACTTTATGACACTAAACATCGTTTAAACCTGATTTCAGTCTGTAGAGTTCATTCAGAGAGTTCAACAGAGGTTATTTGCCGTTTCCAGAAGAAATCCAATATAATTATGTAATGAGTAACACACGAGTTCTTAATATCTGGTATAGAAATAAAAACAAGAGTTATTTATTTATTTTTTTCGGTGGCTTTTTGTCTTTATGGGAAAGGGCAGCTCAATATAGACAGGAAGGTGGGGGGGGGGGGGGATGACACGCAGCAAATAAGCAAATATGTAATTTAACCATGGTTCTATGAAATCTGGATGTATATCTAGTATGGCTGAAGTCAGCTTAGCATGAGCAGTGAGCCACAGCAGCACACTCGATCACTAGCCCCTTCAACACGATACAAATGTGTAAAAATATCCCTGCCGCACCAACACACTTCACCACTGATTACTAATTACCCAGTGACACTCCAGTGTTGTGGAATACAGTACAGTGGAACTTTCCTTTACCCTCACAGCCATGTCTTCCCTCCACTGTGTGACCTTGTCTTTGAGCAGCAGGGAGGAGAGAGAGGTGGAATGAAAGATGAGCCTCCCAATGGTCAAACTCTTCTGTTTTATGTTCTCCGCACATACATTGAATTGTAATTATTGGTTTAATTACCTCTTTGTCGTTACATGAAGGGCACATTTTACACACTGTGTTCATTGTGGTCAGATTGACTTATCGAGGGGTGAGAAGGGCCAAGGGCTACAGGTTGACACCCACCTAACATTGGTTTGTCCTTGATCACAGCGAGAAATTTATGCCTCTGTTTCCACAATTACCAGTACTTAATTAGTTTTAATGAGACAAAAGACAGTGGTGGAAGAAGTCCTTAGTGCTTTAACTCAAATAAAGATAGAAATACCCCCAAAGCAAAACCTGCTGTTTACAGTTTGGGGAATTTTCATGTGTTCATAATACTGGAGAATGGAAGAAAAGAAGAAAAAACTGTTAAAGAGGACAAAGGAGAGCTGCAAAGATATGACTGGAGGAGAAATGGAAGGAAAGAAGAAAAGCAGGAATGAAACCAAGTCTCACAGTCCAGTACTTACTATGGACTTTATCCATTCTACTGTATTCATGCTCAATAGACTCTTTATTAGACTTTTTTCTTTGACCTATTTGGAAAGTCCTATATTGGATTAAGTACATTAGTAGTGGCCATATTTTAATATGACGTAATGCTATTTGTGCTGTGCTGGTGTTTTTTTTATGTTACACATTTCCTGTTTATCTTTAGTTGTCTTCTTTTCCTGCCCATGGCTCTTGCTTGCAAACCTGTGCAACTGAACTTGAATTGACTTCACCACCTCAAAAAGAGTCATCCCCACCACTGTCTACTCCTTTCTGTTCATAGTTACTTTGGTGATTTCACCACCATTATATTGGGAAATAAATTCTAATTCTACTTGCCAACTAGAAAGGCGAAGCTCCTGTGAACATTTGAGGGTTGTAACAGCTGAAGTGGCTGCTATAGAACACAGACTTATCAGCACAATTATCCAGCATGTGGCTGGTGTTAATGTCCAACTGTGGTTGTGGTACAAAGCACAAATACTGTACAGTATTTTACTCCCCAGCACACAATCTGCTGCCACTGACGAGCTGCAAACTGACTGTTGTTTTCTTGTTCCAGGTCTGGAAGTGTCTCTGCTGACTGGTACGAGATTTACTCGTTCGTGAAGAACCTTACCGACAGATTTGTGAGGTGAGTACAAAGTCGCCACTGTCACTGTCATACATTTTCGTTGGAAAGCAGAAAATGGTTTCATAATGCTGCTATTTTGAAATAAGAAAAACATGAAGTGAAATTAAGCTTCTCAGACCTGCAGATACTGAATGGGGCGAGGGCAAACAGTGATTTAAGAACAATTACAACATGTAGCATTATCAAGCAATAAAAGCAGTACATATGAGAAGAATGTTCTTCCAGAAAAGATATTCACCATCTCTTAGAAATGTCACCACAGACAGGATTAACTGAGAGCAGAAATAGTACAACCCTTTTCAGCAAATATGCCTTTACCTTAGTTGTTTTATCGGATAAATGTCTATAATTAAAGAGCCTACAACGTTAGTTGCAGCCTGTTGCACAGATTTAAAGCACTTCCCACCTGTTTTTACAAACTATCAAAATTGCAAAAATCAATGACATCCTTTTTGCACATAATTCATTAAAAAGACGAAACCAGAGAAACCGGCTTGAAACGTTCAGCTTGCATAACGTTTGAGTCAAACGGCGCCTGCCAGCACAGTACAGACGGTAGCGACCCAGCCAGAATGAAGTGGTTGGTTGAAGAAAATAGCAAAGGCACCAGGTGGGAGTGGGTGGCAGAGAGGAGCAGTCTTCTGGGCTGTGAGAATGGCCATTTGCACCGGGGGGGTCCGGCTCCACACTTATCCCCTGCTTCCACCACAGAACGGCTGACAGGCAGACAATGTACAGTAAAGCAAAAGAACACTGGAAAGCGACGAGGACAATCTGCTAAACAATGCTCGCTCACCAAGAGCTCTTCTGTTCCGCCATGTGGAGCAAACTGGACTACTTCTTCAACCCCCCCCACTCCACCCAAAAGGGAGAAAAAAATCCCACCACCACCCCCTGATATGTCCTTGGGATCGCTGCCTCTTTATTCTTTGTTAGAAACAGAAAATATCTCAATATATACAATCATAAGCTCCACTGAAAGCCTAAAGTTCGACGTTAAGTCACCACCCACGATTTGTCATCCATGACTTGAGCGTGGTTAGTTTTTAGTCCACATATGACTCTGAAACTTGCAGACAGGATGTGGATGTATACGGCTGCTACCGCTCCCTGCCAGATCTGGCCGTGTGGCTTAAAGATTGTGCTATGTTTGCGGGGGAGGATCGCGACTGGGCCATGTGTCACGTGGGTGAGAAATATCAGCACCTCTCCTTATGCTCCGAAGGCTTCGGATCTCTGAAGGAAACACTTGTGCGCTTAATTATCTGAAGTTTAACTCGCTCTGTGGGATGGCATCCGTGTGCTTTGCGTTTGTAACAGAGGTGGGAAGTAACTGAGTACATTTACTCAATTCCTTTACTTTATTTGATACTTTACTTGAGTGTTTGCCATTATGCGAGACTGCGTTTTTCCCTCTGTATTTCAGAAATGAGTATTGTACTTTGCACCTACATTTGTCTGATGGCTGGAGTTAGTGGTCACTTATAGCATTTCATATTTTAAAAAGAGATGCTCAGCTCCCACTTTTTCTCTCCATGTACCCATTCTAATACCAGTCCTGTTCTTTATTGTTTCATTTAAACTGTAAACCCAGAAATGATTGTCATTACTCTTCTGTGTGTGAGCCAATACGAAGCTCTAACTTTGCATCACTTCTAGCTGGAGATGCTGGAGACTGCATTGCATTGTTACATTTTTATTAACTGTAAGAACAAGTATTGATCTACAGTATAATGAATTGATCTACTGATTGAATATTGGATATGTTTTTTTAAGATCAGTATCACCAATTCCTAATTTCATATTCAGTGTGAGATAGCCTTATAAATAATGACTTTTGTTCAGTAAAAATCTTAAAATATACATATTTCAAATGTATTAAAACAGCTTAATTACACAGTGACTTATAAAGCTATCCAAAGAGTTTTTAGAAAATAGAATAAACATGGAAATTTAGAGGCTAGTTTTTCCATCATGGAAACCTGGAATTTGAAAATAAATAAATAAATAAATAAGTCCTGGAAATATTTTATATTGTCCTGGAAAATTAGGATGTCTTGGAGAATTATTTCTTAAAAAGATGAACCCCGAGATAATTTACTCCTCGTTCATCAGGCATCAGGATCCTTAGAATTAAGTCAAGTTGATGTCATTCATATAGCATACAGAGTTGCAAATCACATATTTGCCTCAAAGGGTTTTACAATCCTCAGGAAACCTCAGGAAGGGCAACAGCGGAGGACGGACAAACCGATATCTTGTAAACAGATTAGACCAAAAAGACAGATACAATATTAGGCAGATAGGTTGTAAACAAATATAAAGAATAAATAAAAATACCCAACAGGGCTGAGTTACAGACTTCATTACTTTCTGAGTACTGATCAAATTGTGTCAGTAGTATTGAAATCCCTATCATGTACTGACAGCTGGCACTTAATGCTTGTTCAGTGCGTATTTAAATCACAATTTCAGTGTGTATCTTTGGTGGGCAAAGTTGTTTTGTATAACCCATCTGAGATTTTCATTATTTCATAGTGTCCAGTTTTTCGTATTTTATGGTTGCCTTTTATCACTGTGACTACTTTTAATACTGGAATCCATGTAATAGCTGATGCTTTGCTTTTACTTAAGTAAAATCTATTTCTCACAGTTCTCAACACAAGGACGTGAAGTTTTCAAGTACGTTTTTGCTTTCCTAGTTGCACCCTTTCCTCATATCTGTGCTGATTTAGTTTCTCAAGTTTCAGCTGGATATTTACTCAGAAACCAGCTGTGTTCATATTTATGTGACAGCGAGAGTGCTGTAATATGACAGAGCGATACTAAATGTAAACAGTACAGGTTGTGCAGCGAACAGCCTGATGCCGCACACGGTGGTCAGAGACACATCAGAGTGTCCAGTTTCAGCTCACACCCTTTTAAAGTCACAGGTACAAAGTATATATTTGTGCAACAGGATGTGTATGTGTGTTTATGTGTGACTCATCCCAACAACATGTTTCCTGTCTGTGAATTGATTAATCACTTCCTTCAGTCCCACAGAAGCTGCTTTAAGTTGCACACTAATATTAGTTGACATTAAAAGAGCCCCTTCTGTTTGGCTAATTATTCATGCCTCTTTCGTTCCCCTTAACTGAACGGAGCTCATGTAAAAGCTTTATATACAACTGTCAGTCACACTGACTCATTTATAGCCATTCGGAGTATTTTACATGTCATACTGTGTGGGTGGTTGATAAAGAGGATCAAGGACGGAAGTGATGATTTTATGGAGTAGGGAAGGAGAAAACCTAGATAGATATTACAATATTGTAGTATATTGTCTTTTCTCAGTGTTATTCTACATTAGGAATGAGATATTTTGAAAAGACAGAGCATTTCTGATTCCTAATTTTTGATTTTTGTTGTTCTCTTCAGCCCCAGAATGAGAGTCTCATTCATCGTGTTCTCGGCCAAAGCAACAGTCCTGCTGCCACTGACTGGAGACAGGTACTGAACTCTCTGGAACAGATTCATGACGCGGTTGTCATGTGTCTGCATGAGGAGGTTACTGTACCTCACCTCAGAAGTCTCATGCTCTAAATATGTCTTAATATGTCTGGCATTTTAGGAAGGAAAGGACTATTTTGTCTACTTTTGCACAGTTTTTACATTTTGTTTTATATCCCACAGTTGTGAGATTATATACATTTGTCAACTGTCATATTTTAAGCCATTGCAGCAATCTGCTCTCTGTGTATTTGGTCAATGTGGGGTATGTAACTTGAAATGAAGTAACTTCTCACAGGCCACCATAGATTAAATGTTTGCATGGTAACATTAGATTGAGGTTGAGGTTAGAGGTTGAATTCCCACTGGGCCTTTAAATGCTGAAAAAAAGACTCTTGAGACATTCTGGATAAACAGCTTCTTCTTTATTACAAGAACAACTTGTACTCTAAATTCTCCACCACATTGTGTAGCTACCTTTTTAGTAGTGTGCACAGTATTACTTTCTAATATGATTTCAGTACAGTTGGACATATGTGGAGCAAAATGTTAATGCACTCATTTATTTGATGTGTTTTAAGATATGAGATAGAAGAGGGTCTGAAGCGCTTGCGGGACGTGAAACCAGCAGGTGAAACCTATATGCATGAGGGAATAAAACAGGTCAGTTTACCCTCTCAGATGAATCCATTTGCAGCTCAGGAAACTTTTTAACAACATTCACATTATTGTAAAATTGAGATCTGATGAAATGTTTGTCATTCATTTTGAACCCGAAGGCCTCAGTTCAGATAAAGTCACAAAACATGAAGTCATCTAGCATCATCCTGGCTCTGACAGACGGGAAGCTTGAAGTTTACGTTCACGAGCTCACAGTGAAAGAGGTGAGGTTCATATTGTTGTATTGGTATTGGCAGCTGTCTTATTTAAGTGTCATCATGTTGAAATTCTGCTGTCAAAACTAAATTCATGCTGCTAGTAATTCAATTTTTAAATATTTTTTCACTTTTATTTATTTAATTTGTGATTTTCATTTCTTGAATGGGATTTGGTGCCCGGACATCCTGCATTATTTTTCTTAATATCCTTACATTCGACCTGCTTCACATCATGTACACATTTGTTTGATCTGCAGGCGAATGACGCGAGGAATTATGGCGCTCGTGTTTACTGTGTGGGTATCAAGGACTTTGATGAGCAGCAGGTAAGAGAGCTTCAGTCTTAATCTGCAGCAGTCAAACACCAGTGAAGTCTGTCACTGAATGTATGCTGAACGATTACGTTTTATAACAAGAGACACACTGCCAAGTTGGAAGGGTGTCAAGAAAGGTAAACACGTGTAATGTGAGTACCATTACCTGTATGGAAAATCCACGTCTTAAAGTGATATTCCACCTAAAAATCAAACACATAACCCCCTGTAGACTTAAAAGGTGCCCGACAAAGTTTGTAGTTTGCTCAAGAAGAGAGAACAGAAGCCAGTATCAATAAAAACTCCTGCAGCATAATCCACTTTTCAGATGTTCATCTGCATGCTCAGTATGCTCCAAATAATCATTGTTTTGCCAAAATAAGGTAAAATATGCTGCTTCTAGGACAGCATTGTCTGTATAATTGGGATTTTCTTCAGGATTATGTCTGAGTTTTAGCTTAGTTTTTAGTTTTTGCTTTTATTTATTTAAAGAGTTGTTTTGGCATTTTCACTGTTGTTGGACAGCAGACTGTGAAAAATGTATTTCACAATCAGCTTATGAGGCAGCAATGAATAATGAAATAAATAAATGGACACAAATTCTAAACTGAACATAAAATTGATTTAAATTGAATGAAATTAATGACTCTTACATCCAATCTAATTACATTGCGAAAACAAATACCAACTAAACTGAAACCAAATTAAATAGCGGGTGTTCCCTGTACAATTACAATTGCCAAAACAATCAAAGTGTCCAATTATAAACAGAAAACAGAGACAGTACATCGACATCATACAAAAAATATTAGCGTATAGTTCGATTGTGATCTCTCAGACGTTGTTTGATTTGTTCCATTTTGTGGAAGTGTTTTAAAAACATGGTTTCGGGCCTCAGATTTTCTTAGTAAGAAGCTAAGCAAATGGACATTGATGTTTAAAGTGTAAACATATCTTCAGTCTGGCAATTCTTCACTCATTTCCTGATAAAAATCCCAATATTGCTGCATCTTCACTCCTGTTCTCATTTCTTAAAATGAACTCAGACTGCCTGAGCTGCACCAAAGTCCTTTTTATGTCAGTGATGTCTGTAGTTTCACTGTCTCTCTTCCAACATGGTGGCCTGTCCCTTGTAACCATTGGTAACCACCCTGTGATGAGCTCTTATTAAGTCAAAAACAAAGGCAATATTGCTCCCAGTTTGTGCTGCAATGATTTTTTTTTTTATGGTTGAGCAAAGTGTTTGCCACAGTCATGCCATCTGCTATGTCTCCTCCTGCCCATGATATGAAAGGAAAGACAGTGCTCAGTCAAGAGGAAAACAGAAAAAGCAGAAAGCAGCATTAAATCAGCAGTACTCCTTGTTTATTCAACTCTTTCATGGTACCAACAGCTTGCTGATATTGCGGACACCAAGGACCAAGTGTTTCCTGTCAAAGATGGCTTCCACGCGCTCAAAGGCATTGTCAATTCTGTAAGTTTGCCTACTTTCTGTTTGTGTGAGAGGTTTGTCAACTGAGGTTTGTGCTTGAGGTATTTTTTCCTTACTTTAGAAATAACTGAAGGTGGTAACATGTTAGTAAATTTGGGAATCAGATGGATAAATGGCTAAAATTGTTTCCTGCCTTGGCTTCATTGAAGTTTGTCACAAATTAAAGCAAAACCTCTGTGAACTTCCAGCTAAGCTGCATGGAAAATGTCTGTGGAAATAACTGCTCGTTGTGTCCTCAGTTTGTAGACGGAGAAGGAAATGTCTAAACCACTCAGTAGCAAATTAGACACTGTAATGGGAGCAGCTTGACAGTTAGTCACTGTCCATATGACATCCTCTTCACAGTGTTTTTATTGTGTTGAGTGAGAGCGCTTCAGTACAATTAATGCTTTTATTTTCTTCTTTTTGATGAGAAATTCAGAATAAAAGCCAGCGCAACGCATCAAACCCATCCTGTCACTGTAATGCTGTAATCAGTGAATGGCTGTCAGAGTATAAGAGTCCCTTAAACAGTGTTTATATGAAGTTTCCCATGCAGCCTCCTCGTCCCCTGCCAGCCAATTAGTGATACTTTCCATTTGCTGCAGCTTTTAGCCTTAACGCTGTCAGCCAAGGCGGGGGTTTGTGTGGCAACATTTTTTTCATGAATCTAAGCCCGGAGCCCTGCGGAGCTCACTGACCTGAGCTGGACTTACATCTGTGTCTGAGCCGACAAGGCCAGCAGTGTTTAGGGAAAGAGCAGAACTAGACGGAGCTGTCAGACATGCAGCTGGAAGGAGGGTGTGTCTTGTTTCTGTTGTGTGACGCAAAGTACAACAGCTATGATTAATGATCATTATGTTGCTTTTAACATGACTGTAAGGGAAAGGAGATTCTAAAACTCTCAGTCTGTTGTATCACTTTTGTGTAGACCTTTAAAAAGATCCCTGGGTGCATCATATTAATCCTTAAACTAATTTTCACTGAGATTAAAACTTGAGTTTAAATGTATGTATGACACGGTAGCTCACTTTGTAGAATGTGCACCCCACATAGGCTGTGTCCTACCGCAGCGCTGCTGGTTCGATTCCAACCTCTCTCCCCCTTTTCCTGTATATCTTCAACTGTCCTATCAAAATAAAGGCATGAAATCCCCCCCAAAATATCTTCGAAAATAACAATTGCATGACCAAGTGTAATCAAGGGTGCTGACTGTATCTCAGTGGTTCGAACCACGATTTATTCAAAACAGGTGTAATGGTTCATTATGAAGTATGAGTAACCATTTCTAGCAGCCTGAAAAAGGAAAAGGAAAAATGACTAGCTCTAACTTAGAACTTTGTCTTTTGTAATGAGCATGTGAATCCAGCTTGTAATAATTAACATTAAAATGTGCTGAAAGCCTCTGAAAGAGTGGATTTGATTATTGCTAATTAGAAGAAATATGCTTCTAATCTGTTTGTGCTGAGAAAAGATGAATCTTTTCTCTAGAGAAGAGCATTCACACACTCCAGTGCACGAGGTCGTCCTTCCCATTGAAGTCATGGATTAATATTTTTGTGGTTTTAAGACACAGCAACACTACCCAAAATGTGTTAGAGCCTGCACGAGAACGTCCAGCACAACAAGAAAAAAAGCTCATCCCCTCAGCACTCGGAGGCACAGTGACGCTTCCAGCATCCAAATGAAACGCGGAGCATTCTTCTCTGATTAGTAATACTGGATTCCTGACTAGTTGGCCTCCTTACTCTTCTGTTGGATTTCGAGGATTTGAGATCATCTGTGCAGCCTTTTGCTGCAGGATCCACGCTGCCTCTGTGACCAGCATGACAAAACTCACAAAAAGAGCTCGGCAAAGTTGTGTTTCTGCACCCTGTTAGGACATTTTTCTTGTTGATCTTAATTTTAACCACACTCGCCCTTTGTTGTCTGGGCTGCTGGCCTTTTGGGAAAACCCCAAATTGCAATGTAGCCACATCGTTATCGTTAACTTCCTTTCAGCTACTGAACACATGCAGCTGAGTTTAGCCTCTTGTACACTATTGCTGACTTCAAGATTATTGACGTTATTTTGTGACGCTCTTCCTGTTAAATAATGAAAAATAAATGACCTAAATGAAATACCCTCATGAACCTTTCCACCTCATTATTACAATGAGATTAAAGCAGCCTCATCCTTTCAGAAACCCACCCGTTACAACATTGGCTGAGATATATGGAGGACTTTGAGTATTTGGACGAGTGCCTCTTTTTCCCCCTGCAGCCTGTAAATAATGTTTGTCACAAGATCCCAGAGAAATGAATAGCTGCTGTTTGAGTTCAGGCCTCTAATCTCAGCATTCAAAGCTTCTATTTTAATATCTCCAAAACACTGAGGATCTAGTTTGTAGATCTTCCAAACCTAACAAATGACTTAATTTACCCACATTTCTTTAAAAAGTAAATAAGAGTAAGTGCTACTTTTCCGAATGGCAAATTGGAGCAGAAGTGTTCGCTTTTCTACACTTAATGTGAATTCCTCGGGTCCCTCCGTCATTTTTAAGCAATCAATTTTGTTTTTTTGGGGGGGTTTTTTTCTCGGGCACTGCCAAGGAAGTAATTAGACGGGGAAAATAGTGGCACAGAGGAACAGCAGCAGATCCTTTTCCTCCCAGCTGTCATCTACAACCCTCTCCCCTTTTAACGATTCCATATCAAACCATCATATTTAATAAGGCTGCTGTAAACACTCCCCTCTTCAACTCCTCAGATTGAAGTTTCGCCCAACATCAAATGAAAGGTTCAAGTGTCCTATATTGCAGTTAATATGCTTCTTTTTACCGACTGTGTACTGGGATTTGCATAGTTTGTCCTTTGTTGATTTATTGAATCATAGCGGATAGTGCAGCTTCATGACAGTGTGCTCACACAGGCCTCTTTATATGATAATGCAGGATCCCGGAGGTTTTTAATAGAACTGAGAAATGTAATAGTCTTGCATAATTTTCCCATAAAGGCTGACACAGCTGCCGTTTCTCCCTCCTGTTCTCCTCGCCGCTGATATTCAGCGCTCTCCTTTAGCCGCCAGGCCCCGATCAGGAGTGAGACATTTCTCAGGTGTTGCACCCTAATCTGTTTTCTAAACTTGACAGAGCCGATAACGGCCAGGAGTTGATGTATTTATTCTTGGCCCTCAAGCGATAATGTACCCATTTCATTTTTTTTTCATCCTCCAGATATTAAAGCGATCGTGCACAGAGATCCTGAGTGTGGAGCCCTCCAGTGTCTGTGTGAACGGTGAGTGGATCCTCCTGCTGCAGTCAGTCCCTGGAGCTCTGCACAGATATGCTCATTCTCTGCATTCTCTTTTTACTGCTGGCTTACTAAACTTAGGACATCTTTCCAAGTGGAATTGGAAAGATGTCTCGGTTTCAAGCAGCGGTGAGGTAACAAGTTGCTGTTGAAAATCATCTGACAGCACATAGGCCATTACGGCAGACTCAAACTCCCCACAGAATCTCAGAACCTCATAAAATTGAAATGATTTCAGATTTTGCTGCTTTTCAGCTCTTGGTCAGGGTCCACCTAAATCAGCAGGCCCCAACCTTTTTGGCTTGTGCTCCTTTTGCAGTCTACTTGTGAGCCTTTAGTGGTTACACGCTAACAGTTGTGAGCATTCAAGAAAGTGAAGTTATCCTTGTCAGACTGTTAAATCTGGAGGAGTTTTGGAGGCCTGAAGACATGAAAGTATTCAGTATTTCCAGTTGAAAAAACAAAAAAGGTCCCTCAACCCTGAAAAACGACCCTGATTGCTCCATGAGGGGGATGCGCCCCCAGGTGGGCTGATGTAAATAACTTTATCAGCATATATGTATATATATATATATATATATATATATATATATATATATATATATATATATATATATATATATATATATACATATACATATATATCATGTAAACTACGACGTTGTTTAGTTTTAAATCTCAGCACCAAAGAAAATGTGATCTATAAATACATATTCTTTTATTTTTACTTTTATGTTATATTCATGAAACTTGTCAAAGTACTAGCAGTTGTGAAAGCTCTACATCAGGGATCTCAGACTGTCAGCCTGGGGCCTGATGTTAGTAATGGAAATATTTTCAAAATATTGCGCTTTCTTGTAGTACTTGAACTTTGAAGTGGCCCTCCTATGAGATGCCAATACCAGCGGTGGCCCCGAGCCAATTTGAGACCCCTGCTTTACATGGTGCTAGTTTCCTGAACTGTGGGTGGTAAAAGGTTAATGCAGGGAGACCCATTGGAGCTAGTCTTTTCAGGCCCCTTTGTATGCAGAAGCCCTGAAATTCTGAAGAAATACAAGATAAAACTCTCCAACTATATGTATGTTCCTCCTCATAGTCTTATCTCCCATTTGTTTACATTCCACAGAGTCCTTTGACATCGTTCTCAGAGGGAACGGCTTCACCCTCGGCCGCAGCAATGAAGGCGTCGTCTGCAGCTTCATAGTGGACAAGCAAACTTTCAGTAAGTGCTGCAAATCACTGTAGTGCTATAAAGTGACTACACATTGCATTCAGTTGGTCATCACAGAGGTTGACTAAGATCAGTTTCCTTTGGCTCAAACTGCAGCTTAAAATGTTTGCTAGGAACAGCTCTGATATTTTGTAATCACTGTGAACAACCAAAAAGCCAAATGTGGAGTCGCATAATAAATCCTGTCTGGTCCTCACTGATATGTGTTCTAAATCAGTATCTCAAAGCATGCATCCAGTTCACCAAATTAAACTAGTCAAACTGGAATTTGTGGGGTTTGTTTTGACAATAAACAAATCATAAATCTTACATCAGGCTAGGCCAGCATTAGCATGGAGGACAGCAAAAGGCAATAAAGCAAAGAAAAATAGATAACTTACTGGTATTTGTGGAGATGCCTAAATTTAGTCAAAACCCCAAGACTCTGTAGCTGTAATGTGTTTTTGAAAAAGCAGATATGTTAATACAATAATCATTTACATTTTATACCATATCTCCGATCAATACTGCTTTCGGTGTATGCGATACGAGCAGAAACATGAATGGACGTGTAAACTGCCCAGTGTGAGCTGATCTTTGTGTGTTTGTAAGAAGACCCACATTGTCCACATTGCAGTATTAGTCACCCAGAGCCTACAGTTTACCTACAGCCCTGTTGACTTTGAGTCTACAGGAAGAGAAACAATTCAATGCTATTAAATTCTGCCTCTGCAGAACTGAGAATTTTCTGAAGGGGATTGCCCACATTTCATAGTGTCTTAATCTTATAAATAGGGGTTACAGGGGAAGTTTACATGCACACTGTCTTTTGTTTTTTGAAGGCATCATCGTGTCTATCATTAGTCCTTACTCTACCGGGTAATTTCACTCTTCAGAGACTCAAAGAATGTTTTTGTAATATACACATTTACCATTTGTAAATAGGTATAGTTGAAATATATTTTAGTCCCAATATAACAATGATGTTATTATACAGATTTAAAAAATTGGTTTGACAAAAAATATCAACACTAGGTCCACTTACTAACTTTTTCTGACGCTTTCAACCACATGTCAAGGTTGAAAGCTGAACCTTCACATTGACACCTAATAATAATTATCAGCAACATTTGCATTTAGTATGTTTTTATGTTACATTTTCAAATGTATCAAAACAGGAAAAAAAGCAATAATAAATAAATGTCAAAATCACTTGCTGGTTGTCATAGTAACACAGAGTTTTTCAGGAGCTCAGCAATCAGAAAAATAGTGGCCGTCAGAGCAAGTGATGGAAAGATTTAACATGGCAAACAGAGCTCAAAGAATTGCTGATACATTGCAGCCCTCAACTCAGTCTGACAGGACTAAACGTGAGCCGACCAACCAAAAAGAACTAAAATCAGACCCAACGCTACTTAGCTACTGGACAGGTTTTGGCAGGTTATGGTAGACCTGTATCCATCGTTGTCTGATAGCGCCTTCACTGCGGTATTGCACATCATATCTGTGTGATCTGGATCTCTGATTCCTGGTGTACATGAAAACAAGACAAAAAACGGCCTGTCAGTGGAGTCCTGTGGGTCGTCCTGTACACCTTGAATATGAGCACATTAAAGAGAAAGAAATAAAATAAACTAAAATATGATATAATATTGCTGACTTGCAGTAAGGCGCCATTCACACTACTTCTCTGTTGAATGTGACATACACTTTGATTTATATTTAGGGGTTGTGAAGATTCATTGTGTTTCATTGTGTATTATGTCCATGTTGTGGACATACAATACGTCCCATCTCTGGCACAAATCTTCTTATCATATGGTTATCCAACTTGCTTTGATGTGAATTAATGGTGGGAGCTCAGTGGAAGGGCATAGAAAAACAAACCCCTGTCCCGACATATCTGTTATCAGCAGCTCTTTATCTATATGATCTAAATTCAACAGTAGAAAGGAGGGTATGTAGGTCACTGTGCTCCTTATTTTGAGCTTGCAGTCTGTTCTGTTGAGAAATCCTTTTTCAGGAAGCAAACGGGATTTGGCACCAAAAGCCAATCTTTTCAAGCTCTCATTTGGCCGTGGGATCTGTGGGATCGACGACTGCCAATGACAACACTTCTCTCCTTGACAAGTTATTTTTGATTTTCAACATTTCAACTCGACTAAAACACTTGAGCATATTTTTTTTTCCTTTAAAAAAGAACTTCATCCGATTCAGGAAGTGGCCATTAGCAGATGTCTTCCTGTTAGTCCTTTCTCAGTTTAGGCTGTCTCACATTCGCCCACTTGGGGCTATTTATTCCCTTATTGGCTTTTGCATGTGTTCAGCCCAGACCTTTTTAACAGTGGGGCACCTTATAATTATGGACAGGCATCATGGCAACTATGGAACACACACCACATATGTGGAACAGATGCTACAGTCTTCTCCATCACCAAACCAGTTGGAGCCCCGAGCAGACAAGCAGAAAAGAAATATCAATAATCTGAAAGACCTCCATGGCTGAAGATGGTTTAGGCCTCTGTCAGCCTATGCTGAACACACACACACATACACACACACACACACACACACACACACACACACACACACACACACAAACAAACACACACTGATATTTAGTTTTTTGTTTTTTTTCTTTAAATAACGATCCTTCACACAGAGTGTCAAAGAGGTCAAAGAGAGTTCATGTGGGGATTGTTGGCTCATTGTGCTCTTAAAGTTCCACCAAGATTTTGCAAAACTGAGTTGATGATAATGTTGGAATATTGTTCATAATATCAGTCAGTTTATTTCATAAAATATAAAAAAAATGTAAGCAGAGCTTATTAAGAATAAATTCTGACTTGAGAATCGTGGGAAATGTAGGGAAATTCAATGCACTGTTATATAGGCTTTTTATGTACAGGCAAACGTCTGACTCATATACAGCAAAAAAAAGTAAATCTGTTTAATTGACTGTATCACATATTCATATAAGGAGTTAATTTATCACCTAACCTTACCCTATGTTTTGTCTCCTTTTTACAGATCATAAACCGAGTGCTGTGCGTAATGATTATCTCTTGTGTCCTGCACCAAAGCTCTATGAAGTCGGACAGTAAGTAGTCTGTATGATTTCTTTTGGAGTGTAGTGGAGCATGTTACTTTTGTGACGTATTTTGAATTAAATATTATTATATTGCTTTCAGATATTGGCCAATTGTGTGGTCTTCTGCAGGTTTCTCCACAGAAAATTAAATGTTGTTTCCTTTTCTTATCAGATTGAATTTAATTCAATGTTAATTCCGTTGTGTTCATTATATTAAGTCTTAATCTAAACACAGTAATGTACTGCAGAGTTTCTCCACTGTTATATATTTGTATCAAGCTGCATTGAAATTCACAATTTTGTTTCTGTCATGGATATGGAAAGAAATTATAGGAAGCCACCCCAAATAAAGGGGATTTCAAAGTTTTTATACAGAAATAACATGTCAACTGGCATAATAATGCATTGAAAAGTACATTTTCCAAAATAACTGATATGTAGCTCGGGCAGTGTGTCTGTAGATGTATTTAAATTTTGATCTTGGCATGTGAAAAACAGTAAACGTGTGAAGTTTTAATGACAGGCATCTCGCAGGGAACTCTTATAAAGCCAGCATCTATAAACGGGACCACCTAAATAGATTAAATATGTTATCATATAGATTGTTATGTTGCCATAAAATAGTGAATAAAAGGAAAGGAGCTTTGTTTATGGTAGATGTCAGTTTTTAGTGTTTTATATTTTCTGCTGCATCTAGAAATCAAGAAGCTTATCTCAGTAGAAATCGGCATAGTGAGTCATGTTGTACATCTTCTTTTGCAAACCACACACGCACACAGATACTTCCTTAATATTACTTTACCAACATAAGGACTCTTTCAAAACAATGTATTTCCCCTTATCTTCAGGCCTTGTTGTTTTTCTGCTGCTATCTGTGCTCAGTTGTAGAGTTGTTTTTTATTTAAATCACCCATATCTCTCACATTTAGCAAAGATGTTTCAATCATCTTGGTGTCTCTTGCTCTTACATGCACAGTCTTTATTCTTTCTTGTTTTTTTTTGTTTTGTGCACATAAACAACTTCTAAATCTATAAATAAGCTGTATGTTAAAACAGTAGATGAAGGGATGAAGAGTTTCCTGTAGCGTAAAGACGCAGTAAACATTGTAGACTGAGCCTGACAGAAAAACACCCCATACATACAACCCACAAAGATTTAAGTGAAAACAGTGTAAATATGCATTTATTCCCGGCTGCATAGCTATTGTTTGATGTCAACGTCAGCTCTTATAATCCCAAACCATAACAGATGATCGCTAAGGCATTCTAGATGGAACAACAGATTTTAATGTCCTCGATGACTGCAATCCAATCAAAAATGTATGATTATATGTGCGGCTGGCTCCTGAAGGTCTTTCAGCTCTAAAACAGATTATGTATCATATGATGATGGCGATGCTGTAACTATTTCAAATCAACTTGAATCTCACCTCAGATAATCCTTTCATGTTAATGTCCAAACTGCTCATGATAATGATTTCTTTTTGCAAGAAGCTGAAAGAGGAATGTGAATTTTTGAAAGGATATAAGACCTAACGTATGTTCCTTTTTTGAGTTCTAGTTCTTAATTTCTTCATACACAAATGAATGACTTAAAAAATCAATAGATAAAGACACGTACACGTATACACAGCATACACTCAAAATGCTCTTCTGCAGCAATATGTCAATGCATATACAGTCCTGTGCAGTACATATTATAGATACAGTATATAAAAAGACTTACTGTGCAAATATCTGACATGTCCTATTATTGCCATTCACTTTTTGGATTTTGATACATATTTGCATCCGGATGCAGATAATAAAACCACTTATTGTGCAGCCCCTGTGGAGATATGTGCTCTCACAGTTTTGTCTTCTATTTTTTATTTACAGTAGGTTACATTGCTTTTTTTCCTCCAGCTGTTAAAAACACTATATTTATTGCTTTCCCCATCTGGTCTCACTTTCAGTAATATAGGATATTCACACAATGCAGTGGGATTGCAGTTGATTCTCCTCAGTGTGAAGAAAAGCAACATTTGGAATACAGTTTGTCTTTATAGTAGCAGCTACTGGAGAAATCCTCCTCCTATCCAGATTGTCCTCTTGTTTAGAAATCAGAAGAGCAAAGCACAATCTGATATCTTTCAACCAACTCGCCAAGGATGCGGTAAAAAGATGAACTTGAGCGAGTACATCTGTAAACCACAGGGCTACAGCGCTGGCTACGACCTGATAGGACCTGAGCTGATGCTGATGCTGCGTGCCCGCCATTTGCAAAAGGCCTGCTTAATTAACTCTTGGCTGCCGATGGTGACCCATTAAGTAGTTAGTTGGTACGGGCGGTGAGTAAACACATCTGCTGGAGGGGCTTTAAAAGGATGTGCGACAGATGCAGCCATTCCCTTTTCCACGCTCCCCATTTAAATAATTCACCATGCACTGACAATCCCTGCACCCAGGACCACCTGCATGGAACGGCAGAGCCCAGAAACTTCCGTCTCTGTCCATCTGTCTGCTTCTGCTCCATCACCGCTCCCGGTGCACAGGGCGCTGCTTTAACATGGCTCCACTCAGCCGAAGAAGAATCGCCTTTTCATTGCATATTCCTTCTCCCTGTTTCCCCTTTGTAACCATGTTGTGTTACACGCAAGGCCTTCTCCTCAGCAAACGCTGCTTATATTGCTGGGGAACATATTTCAGATACAGCAGTCACCCGAGTTGAAGTGCTCAGCTGCAGCTTCCTGTCCCACCGGGAACTCGGAGCAGGCGACTCCACATCCAGCCTCGATGTCCAGGAATCACAGTGTCCTCAGTTGGTCATCGAGCTGTGTAGGAGCACTCACGGCGGAGGCATCATCTGTGCTGACAGCTGCGGCATCAGGCTTGAAACACTGGCATCTGCTGATGCCCTTCCTTCCCTCCCCACCCTCTTCCCTCCACCCTCCTCCTCCCTCTTCTGTATATCCCCATTAGGAGACCTAGCACACCCTGCTGGGGCACTGATCGAGAGGTTAAGTGGCTGCGCTCTTGCAGCAGCATGTCCTCACCTGGTGTTTTCACAATAACGGTGGAGGACAAAAAATAACTGAGGGGGGAGTCAACACCTGCTTTACATAGCAGGTACAGTAGCTAATGCTAATGCTCGTCAATAATTAAACAGGCTGTCCCAGGGTTGCTGCTAGCAGTGGCATCACTCCATCTGCTCCAGTTGGGGTATGAAGATGTTTACGATGGAACTGTCCTGTTGTTTGATTGTCCTTTATGTTGTGGCACAGACATTTTGGGTGTGCAGTGATTTGTTGTCACACGATGAAGCTGGAACCGGCTCTCTTTGATTGAAGGATGTAAGGAGCAGTGTGTCTGCTCTAGGTCTTAAATGTGCAGTGGCAGATTATCCAAGCTCTTCTTGTGACTGGATAACAAAAATAAGCAATAATATGAAACATAACATTCAGAGAATTTTCAACTTGCACTTGATTCAAAGTGACAAACAAGTCCGGTGCTTCCAGTAGATCAACTGAAGAGATAATGTTTTTGTATAAATGTCATAATCTGATCAGTCTGTATAACTAGTGTTGGGTATTACGTGGTTTGGTTTGTTTCAGCCTGTTTAATTTACAGCAGTGGTTCCCAGTGGTTTTGGCTTGTGACTGCTTAAAATGATGCTGTGTCTGCTGTACTACAGTTATGAGCAGTTATTGTTTTGATTTTTCTATATTTGCTTGTTGTGTTGTGTAATCTTTGGCATTGAACATTTAATGAAATAATGTCAATTTTGTCATTAAAAGTTTTACAGTACTGTCACACGATAATGTAACATAGATAAAACATAATTAAGACTCAGTGTTTACTGTGATAGATTACACCACATGAGAAAGTAAGTCAGTTAATTGTTACAGACATTAATAGAAAGCAGTGCCTACATGAATTGGTAGATAAGAAAAATAGATACAAAAACTGGTGTGGTCCTTTAAGTTACCAGCTGCCATGCCAGAAAACCACTTTATTTTAATTTGGTACCATCAATCAGTTTTGCATGTCAGTCTTTCACAATGGTGGATGCCTCACTCTGGAACACAACTTCTCATCTGGTCGGCAGCCTTCGTGAGGTGATCCGTCCCGTCAGTCGAGTTTCCTCCCCTCCGTCAGAACTTCAGCCACACAAAACTCGTGCAGAGTGATGACTCCTGGATGCCGAGTGACGGGCCTTGCATATGCTCTGCCGTGAATTATTCAGCCTCCTCAATTTTCACATCTTTAAGGGAAGTTTGAAAGCCATTAGCGTCACCATTGTCAGCTGCTCCAGCTGTATCGCATCACCAAAGCTTAGTGTCATGGCGGGCTTACTTTCTGACAGTTTACAGAGAGCCTGGGGACAAAGTTTTTCCAACGTGGAGCCACAGATCTGCTACAGGAAGAAGCCATTCAACTGGTGTCCCTGGGAGCCTTTGTCGCTTTCTACCCAAATTTTGACTGATCCCTCGGGCCCCGTGACATTCTTCCCTCTCATCTCCCATTTATTCAAACATAACCATCGACCCACCAAGCAGCTGCAGCTCTCTCCTCAGTGTCACTCACTGGCTTTCACCATGGAAAAGTTAAATGACAGCGAGTGGTTTTTAAATTATTAATCTGGCTCCTTTTTAAAGTCATTCAGCTGCCTTTTTTAAAATCCTTTTTTACCCTTATTGTCTCTTCTTTATTATTGTTGTTTTGCTTGTTTTGGGTGTAACATTCAAGAATGGCCATCATTTGCAAAAAATAATTTACTGCATAAATGTTTCGGTGCACCTTCACCACACATGCACATGCTTGTTTATAGGCCTTCACACAAAAAACTGCAACTAACAATATTCATTATCTGCCAGGGATTTTAAATACACAGAATAACCACTTTAATAGAGTTGCCAACTAATCATTCTTTTGTTAATATTCCTGGAAATTAAAGGGTAAAATGGAGATGGCGTATATGACTTATGCCTCTGTGTCGGAGCAGATTCTGTCTACTCAACAGTAACTCGCTAAATTAGCAGTCAGTGTCTCAGGGAGGAAAAAGAAAGGCCTCGCTGACTATGGTTGGGTTGTGGTGCATTAAGGATGTCCAGCAGTGTCAGGCGAGGGGAGGAGGGGTGGGGGGGTTCGACAGTGTAACTCGCTTGGGAGCTTTCCTCCTTCACACGCCGGGGTGTACACCTCCAGCTTGATTAACAACCTGCCCACCATTATCATGGATTGAGGGTGTCAGCTAAATTAGCCTCTCCCCTCACCCATTCAGCACGAGCACTTAGTTAACATGCAAGGACCTGGAACGGCTTCGCTGATCTGCAGAGGCGTGCAGCGTTTCACTAATCCACGTCGGACACAAAGGGATGTTTTCTGATCGAAGCAAACTGGTTCACACTCAAAATCAGGAGTTTTTAAATCTTTGCAGTGCACAGGATATATTCATGATGGAGAGAGTTTGTAGCACAAGCATGTCTTTTTTTTTAGTGGTTGTCTCTAAAGGGCTAGGTCAGTAGGATCAGGTTCAAACGTTTTAAACAAACTAACACCTGTAGTGCAGATAGAGCAGATCAGAATAAAGTGTGTGGAATACACAGATGTGGAAATATTACACAAAATTTAAAAATGAACCCATGTTTTCTGTATCAAATTGAAGGCTGTTTGTCTCTTCTAAACTTTAAAATTAGTTTGGTCAACTTTTATGTCACTGTTATGCTGCCTCGTCATTACTTCAGTTAAACCCAGTCTAATACAATTTGTTATACTTTATCACTGATGACAAACTTATAATTTCTCTGTGTCGCAAAGTTACATTAAATTAATTAGTGACAAAGAGGGATGATAAATATATGAACCTCTACTGTCATACATCTCCTCTCTCATTTAAACCTTGTAACAACAGTACACAATCCAATAAGGTACCCCATGTGTGAACACAAATCTTGGCATTAATAGAGTTTTTATGACTCGTAAGATATTTTATTAATTAATTTTGTCGCTGTATTGTTGGTTAGCTGAGTTTGTTTATGTTATTTGTTTTTCTGAATTTTTTAATTTTAAATTTTTTGCTATTGAGTTTCTTTAAATGCTTCAGGATTCCAGATCAGGTTTGGAAAAAAAAAACAGATTTTTGCTGCAAGTGGAACAGTGGGAGTTAGTGCTCGTGGAGTAATCTGCAGCGTCACCTAAAATAAAAACACTTAAACTTCACCATTATCCTCAACCTGTCTGTTACTACTTTAATTGAGCCTGTAACTTTAAAATTTTCTGTAAAAAAAAAACCAAAACAACAACAATTAAATGGTACATATGAAAAAAGAGATCTTGGAGATGTTACTTAAATATGGTTGATCAGCATCTCTTATCAAATGAGAAAAGATGGAATAGGATAAACAAGTAGAGGCATCAACATGTTAAGTGAAGTGTCAAAGTGCATCCGATTTTAAAGTTCCATGAATTGTATTTTAAATATTTAGTGTGGGTAAATTAGGAAAGGTGCAAAGGAGTCAGTTTAGAATATTTAGAATACACTGCATAGTAATGGACACATGGTCTGGTTGCTCATCTGTTCTGAACCACAGGAGAATTGGTGGCCCTAGGCACTGCCTCAGGCAAAATCCAAAGCAAAGCAAAGGGTTCTCTTGTTATTATTCCACAGCACCAGTTTTATGCAGGCCTCCCCTGTACACTACCACACACTCACAGCTGGCCCCTCACACACACAATACCACTCTTCGTACTTCTTTCTCTCTCCCCTTTTTGTGTCTGAGGAAGGATTTCAGGCGTTTCACTCGTTCCATATCCTGAATTCTCATTAAACCTGCGGTAATTGGATTGGGCGTAATAGACATATGGAAATTGCGGTGCCGTTCATCATTAGGCTTTTAATTGCGCCCATTTTGGCTTTCGCATTTCCTTCTAAATAAGTCATAGGAGTTCACGAGCCTTGTTACTGCTAGTCAGGTTCCTCTTACATCCACACACACTGACAGACATAATGAGAGGATTTCCTCCCTCTGAGTCTGACCATTTATTTTGCACCCATTGTGTTCTTTACAAAGCTTTGTGCTACTGTGAGTGCTGGACTTGTTACACGTTTACATTGTTACGTTTTAAACGGGACTTGCCTGTGAAATAATACAATTAAGATCCTTATTCTATCACTGGAAGTCATAAGAGATTTTAATGATAGAACCCTATTGATGATTTCCTTTGAGAAAATGACTGCTAATGATGATTTTGTCATTTTTATAAAGGGAATTTCTTGCTAGATCAATGTGGGACACCTGGATGATTCCTCTGATGATCATTTAGTTAACTCTGTATGTGCCAGTTTTGGTTGATGGAACATATTACTGTGACAGTAATTAACTCTTTTCTGTACAGGACTATGGACGTTCTCATCAGCCTAAACAACGGCAAGTCCTTCATCTCCAGCGCCTACACCATACGTGCTTCCACATGTGTGAGTTACCTTCATATTTGAAACTAAATGAAAGCATCTGGAATGACACTGAGCTCTGAACTTCTATCCTGTGTTTTCCTCCTGTACATGTTGTAGAACTTGAACAAAAGCTCTCCAACTTTCCCACACACCCCTCTTTTTATAATCTGAGCTAGATTTCCCCAGTTAATGTTTGAGGTAGTGTTGTTCATGTTGTGGTTTGAGTATGTGATATCTGCTGTGATAAGCAGAACTCCTTCTACCTCCCTTCTGTCTTTAAAATGTGATGAGACATGTCTTTTTTTCCCACAGTAGTGACTGTACCCCAGCTTATCAGTGCATTTGTCATAGTCATGCACCATATGGAAACAGTTTCCTAAGTTAAAAATAATCAAATTGTTGAATCAAGGTAAAACATTTAATAATTCAATTTACACCTGAAATCATTATTTGTATATAATTTATAATGACGGTAAAACCTTTATTTTAACATACTTCTGATATTTCTCCACCAGCTAATTACCACACATTTTGTCTCGTTTCACCATTCTGTTTAAGGTTTGAACACCAAATTAATTTTCAGGATGAATTAATTGGTTATTTTCATTTCCTCCTCTAGTCCGATGGTTTTGCGGTGGCAATAGTCTTCCTGGTGCTGCTGATCCTCTTAGCTCTGGCCCTCATGTGGTGGTTCTGGCCTCTTTGCTGCACAGTGGTGAGTGTTGCTGCACTGCTCATAACCAAATCTGAACATATTCAACTTTAGGCAACCAGAGCTGATGATTCATTTACTTTTAGTTTTTAACAGAGATAACAGCAGCAGGTTCTGTGCTGGCAAAGACATTGTGTTACCTGTTTTACCTGCAATCAAAAATGATTTAAAGAATAATGCTACCTTCTCTGGATCCGATGGTAATAATTTTGAATGTCTGATTTGAATAGAATCAGTAGCATTAAAGGGGAACGTCGCATGTTTTCTCAACAAGCTCCCCCTACAGCTCTGGGACGTATATTTCACAAAACTGTCGTAAAAAAACTCACTTGCGGCACCCTCCTCCCCCTTTCTACCGCTGCTGATGTGCATTTGTTGCCGGGCAACTTTTTTGCGTGGAGCAATGTCTACTGAGGTGGGTAATACATGGGCGTGGCTAACCGGTATTGAGGGGGGCGTGTGCGTTTATGTGGAACTGCCGTAAAGCAGTTTGTGTTTCTCGCTCGTTCTCGCTTCTCAAGATATTTCCTATTTCCAACTTAATGGGACGGTAGTCCCAAAGTTGCAAGGTTGGTTTTCCACCTGGGGACACTAGGGGGAGCGGGGAAAGTCACCATTAACACCGGAACAGGCCATTTAACCATCCAAATGATTTCTAAACGGGTTTATTAAGTTGAAATAGTTGCCAAATTCCCCTTTAAAAGCAAAAGTCATAAATGAGAACACAGAATGTCTTCATAACAGTTGCAAGCATCCTGTTGCAAATGCAGCATATCAAATGATAGCAGGGGAAGTGGTCCACAGTGTGAAGTTTATTCCCACTTATTCCCACACAAAGCTCAAATCACAACAGGCAATTAGTCACCAGCCCACTCTAAAGTGTGTCAAACATTGGTTTAACCCCATCCCCCTCTCGTTTACCTCATTTTCCGCAGTGGCTTAGCAACACCAGAGAGAGAACCTGAAACAGGAAGTGTAGAGCCCACATCCTGCAGATGAGTGGCTGATGACTGCATGTGATCACACACAAGTTCTCACAAATGAAGTCACTTTTTTGTGAGCACACAATGTTAAAAACAAAACTGGTGATAGATTAACAGGAGACAAATGTGAGTGACAGATTGCACGACCAAAATCTCTGTTTGCCCAGGACTAACATTAGGCCTACCTGGGGACTGAAGTGATTAATAATAATCACAGAGATTGTTTCTGGTTTAATCACGGTGGAATCTGTCGTGTCCATGCTGCAGCTTAAAATACTTACTTTGTTTTGGTAAACACAGAATTCTTCTTTTGCTAATCCAGTCAGTCAGTGTTTCATTTCAGCTTCACTTTGTTTTTGTTTTTCTTCTTACTCCTCCTGTTTTTATTATCATTATTTGTCTGCGGTGATTGCTAATTTCCTCCCTTCATCAAGAATAGAAACAGCATCTTAATCTGGAGAGGAGTGAATGCATGTTTTGTTAAAGCAGGGCTGGACAAAATTAACATGGACAAAATATAACGATTTCAACAAAGCTCTCACACACTGTAAATGAAGGTCAATGTACTTTTCCAGTTGTAAACAAACACAGTATAAAGCTTATGAAGCTTATCCTCTTACAGTATACTATACTACTGCTATATAAAAGTGCACAGACATTGCATTGAAAATTGTTAAACTAAAGTAAAGTACATGACATCATGTTTTTCCAAAGAACCTCAGCGCACTTGAAACGTTGAGAATAGCACACTGAAAAACAGCACAGACATAAATCTCCCATGTAAAATAACAAAAACATTTCTAACTTTGGCAAACTGAAAAAGATCTTAAACAAAATATTTGTTGCCACCTTTTTCCATATGCCAAGCCTTCCTAATGTGTTCTTTACTGTTGTAAAATGCACTGCAGTGGGTTATTTAAGTTGTGATGTGCCAAGTTATAAATTTTCAACCCTAAGTAGTATCCATACCAGTATTAATACAATCTTAATTATACCCCTCCCTACTCATGACGGATCTGAGACAGAATGGTTGTTAATATTAAGAGCGAGTAAATAGCGATGTGCGGGAATCTTGGAAAGACTAAATGTAAAATCTGGACTGGTGCAGTTCTAAGTTCAGAGGCTCTGGTGATTAAAGATAATTTCATTAGTAAGTGCAAATGTGTTTCTCTAAATGTGGAGGTTGGAAGGTTATTCATTAATTCCACAGATGGCCACATGTTATTGGTCCCATGTGAACAGGGTGTTTGTTAAGGTGGAACTTGAGGCTGTGTTTAATTAACGAATCTTGAATCTGCAATTCAATTCAGAGCTCTCCTTTATTGTTTCATTTTCATCAACTTTATTGTACTTGGTGGAAGGTATTTTTTTCCTTTAAAACTTACTTAAGTCCTGGATATTCATGAAAACTACTGTTGTCAGCTCCTCTTGCCTTCATCCCCTTTGGAAAAAACCGCCTCAGCCACTTCACCATTTACAAAAATCCACAACAGATTATTGTTTGGGGCTATGAGAGAGGGGCTACAGATGGTGCACCCTGGTCTTTTTCTGTTTCTCTGCTTTTTTCTACTGAGATCTGATAAAGGCAAATTTTCCCTCCACCGCCGCCAACCAGCCCCTCCCTTCCCACTGCACCTCCATTCCTGCTCACCCGCACCGCCCCTTAAATGATAGACGTCACCTGGCTTTGTGGACCTGAAGGGAGCCCATCCAGGATGAGATGGAAGCATATTTTGGAAAACCAACAAAGGCATTAAAATGTAAACCCCCTGCAGCATGTCTGGCCGCGGACGTGTTTGTCTTGGTGGAGAGAGCTGCTGTTGCCTTCCATCGAGGGACGCGGCAGAAGAGGAGGGCCATGTGTGGCTTGTTAATATTTAAACCCCCAGTCTGCCAGGTTTCAGCAGTCGGGATGAGGCCACGCACACACATACACACACACACACACGCCCAACCTCTTTCCCACAATCCCTCTCTCTCTCTCAGTCTCTCTCCCACATGGATTGATGCCAGGAGAGAGGTCATACAAGCTGTGGAGTGGTAATTTCTTTGTTTATGATTTGTTTGGAAATTAAGCTCAGAATGGCGTAGCCTTTAGTTCAAATCAAAGGATTCAGGATTGGAGGTGCAGTTTTGAATTACATCGCCAGTTTATCCAAATTACAAATGATTCACTGCTAAATTGGATGCACTTTTGGACACATTTTCAACTCAGTTGGTGCTTAATATGGTAATAATCTCTGATTATTTCATGTTAGAAGTTGTCAGCGTAGCTCTCCGATGCAGAACTTTTATCTTATTTTGTTTCTTTTCCCCTATTTTCTTCAAACAGGTTTATTTGTCCATAGTTAAAAGTTAAAATTTCAAAATATGCTACCTGCCACTGATCCATCACGATAAGCCTCCCGAAACAGCTTGACACAACACGGTTGGAGCCTGAGGTTGGGAATGAACGGATTATCAAGTCCAGTTGGACAGTTATGGAGACAGCCATATGGGGGACGATGCCCCCCGGTGTCATGGCCGTGGTGGCGAGCCGCTGGGGCTGATGTCAGGCGGTTAAGTATCCTGCGGTTTAGTTTTTAATTACGTTGCTGAACGCTCCTATTCACATCTGTCCATCAGGTAGCTGGGAAAGAGCAGCAGAGCCCCGTCATTTGTATAATGCTTTATTTATTCCACAATATGTCCTGGAAATCTGTTGCATAATTACTTAATAAAAAGAGATAATCCTGTCAACGTAAGGTATGGCTGAAACGATGTTAATCAGCGTATGGAGAGGCTACCAGTTGACCTTTACTGGATTTGCTTACAGCCAGTTGTGTGTCAAAGAGCAATTAATTAACCCTAATTGATTATTTTTCATTATTCTAATGACAACAGTATGTGGAGAGTGTGATGGTATCTCTGCACTTAACAGCGAATAAAACAGCTGTTAGGATCTATGATATGCCATAATTACATTGCTCTTTTTTTTACCTCCAAAACCAATTTAGCAAATGCATAACCAGTGATGACAGTGAAGTATCTGTCTTTGATGACTAATGGACAAAGGTCTGCCTTCCACTTTGCCTCACACCTCAAGTTGATATATGTCCTCACTGTAATTATATGTACAGCATTTTATAGGCCAGCTACTGTACTCTGTTTGTAGTGCTAATGTCCACTGTTGTGTAAGAGAGGGATGGTGAAATGAGGCCTTCTCTCACACTGGGTGGAGAAGTGAACAGGAAACACTCTTTCCTTTCTTATTAACCTCTGCTGAGGAGCCTTTGAGCTACTAAACCTCATCATCATTCAATCTTGATTAAATGTCCTAACAGTCCCAAGGATAACTAGTTTACAGTGATTGTAAACAGAAAAAAAGGAGCAAATCTTCATTTTTAAAAATGTTTTGTCAACTGACTGATTCATTAATTGACTAATAATTTCAGCATGTGGCCCCGTAGCATAGGGGTCAGTGCATCAATGCTCATTTAATTCCCACAATGCTCAGAAAACATAGATAAGAGCTCTGTCTTTTGGGAGCTGCAGCCCTGCTCTCTGTACTGACTGTTACCAGAAGATGACTTGCAACTCACAGGAAAACACTCTCTCACAGACAGAGTGAGTGACAATGGTGTCTTCAGCAATCCTGCAGTAAAAAGTTGGACATCAGTATGTGAAGCGTCTGACTGACACCTGACAAATGTCACTGTCAGGCTGCTCTTTGCTTTGCGATGCACATCTGAAAAACCCCAGTAGAGGCATCTTGTCCTTGAGTGGAATCACATTGTGGACAACCTGCTCCTCAGGTGCCATGTCATCCGGTGTTGTCATGAACAATGCCGCCAGGCTGGTCACTCTGCTGTGGGAGAGGTGTGTCGTAGTAATGCGTGTGGTGTTTTTTTTTTTTTTCTGTGTGTGTATGCCGCCACTTATCTTCCACGCAGACGGGGCTTGGAGCTGAGCCCGAGCCTCCTCCTCTGTATCTCATTGGAGCTAATTAACTCCTTAGGACTTTATGATTGGGGGGATTGCTTGGGAGCACTGAACCCCATCCAATTAATTAAGAGCTAAACGGGCAGTGGCGCTCGCCCCAAAGACTCCCCTGTCAACAAGTTGATTTTCAGCTTTTCTTTATTTTGCACGGGGGGCCCCTGATGTTGGTTTACAAGCAGAATCCTTGTAATCAGTAGTCAGTGGGGCGATGGGGTGCCAGTTGCAGTTACAAAGCAGCCTGGCAGCGGCAGCGTCTCCGCCGTGTGACGAGCCGAGGGACATCTCTGTTTGACTCAGTCACCTGTCACGAATCACCTCCGTCAGCCTCGTTTGTGCTTGTCTTGACAAGGTTTGAGCGTGTGTGTGTCTGTATACGTCCCCTGATGGACTTTGTGCTGACGCTCCTTTGCTTTTTCTGTGTATCCAGGTCATCAAAGACCCGCCGCCACCTCCTCCACCATCCCGTCCTCCACCACCTGTGAGTACCTCACTATAGTGTTGTCACAATACCAGAATATTTAAGTTGATGCCAATGAAATTTTTAACATTTGTGTAGCATTAGAGCATTATAGATGAAAATAAAAATCATCAAGCAAAGTCACAACAGTAACAAATCCTGCAAAACTGAGCTGTCAGTTTTCTTAAAAGAATATTTCCACCTTGTGAGAAATGGGCTTATTGGCTTTCTTTCCAAGAGTTTGACGAGACGATTGATATCACGCTCATGTCTTTTTGTTAAATATGAAGCTAGAGCTAGGAGGTCATTAGCCTAGTTTAGCATTAATACTGCTATAAATGTACCTCACACTAAAACCACAATGTGTGGATTTTGTTTTAAATTTTGGACAGAGCCAGGTTAGATGTTTCCCTGTGCTTTAGTCTTAATGCTAAGCTCGGCTAATCACCTGCTGGCCAAGACTCTGTACTTAACGCATTATTACTTTACAAAGCCTTTGATAAGTTGCTGCTGATATTACACTGAGAAACTGAAGCTGATTTGTTGTTGTCTATGACATTTTATGTTGTTAGTGGTTCATAAACAGTCATTACTGGAAACTGATATCATTATATCATTAAAATCTGACTCATATCTGTCATCACAATATGCACAAGTAGGTTGTGGTTTTTAACAAACACTAGATTTTCAGAGTTTTAATCTGCAGAGGATTAAAAATACTGAAGGAAATAATTTGAGGGAATATATTTATTTAGTTGATGAAATCCTTAAAAATTCCTTGAACCATGTATAAAGAATTGATAGCTGTAGCTAGCTGAAGTAAGGACAGACGTGTCTCTTCCTGCCTGATGAAATGACATAAATGAGTCTTTCTTGTTGAAAGGAAGTGCATTCAAATTTTGGGATTGAAATGGGAAATGGGATTGAAAGAAAATGGAACAATAGCAAGCAGAGTCCTGCCCTACTTTCCTTTAGTGCATGTCATAGAATTGATCAATTTTACAAGACTAAACTTTGCATATGGCTAATTTCCCTGTCTTTTTAAGGAGCCAGAGCAACTGCCCAAGAAGAAGTGGCCAACTGTGGACGCCTCCTACTACGGAGGAAGAGGAGCTGGAGGGATCAAACGCATGGAGGTCAGAGCCTAACTCTCATCCCCCAACATATTGCTTTCAGGAGCATGAAACACTCTTTTCATCACAATCACAAAGTCATGTCTCTTTCATTATGTTTGACACATGAATCTCCTTGAAGTTGTCTTGATGTGAAATGATTAGAGCAGCAAATTTTAAAACATTAGCACCGTCTTTTCTTATCAAATCTAACCAGCAAAAAAAAAAAAAAAAAAAAATCCGAAATCCTGCATAGATAAAATCCTAGGCAGCAGGAAGTGACGCTGTTCTGACAGCTGTTCTCCTGTAAACTGGCATCATGTTGAGGGAAAACTGCTGACATTCAGTCTTGTTTCTGAAGCTACAAGTTTGTCAAGTTACACAGACAGTTGTAGGAGGGACTGACTGACTGACTGACCGGCCGGGTCTGCTGTCCTCGTCAGCCCACTGATGCCTCCAACATGACAGGCCCTGCCATCTCGTCCTTGGCCGTCCGGGTCTGATTGGATCAAGTCATTGCCAGGATGAAGGATTGAGTGCTGCTGTCAACTTGACATATCCACCTCACCCACCTCTTCTCTCCACCTCCCCCTTCCCAACTCCCAAACCTTGGCAGGCCCTTTGTTATCCGCCTCCACCGAAGGGAATCCAGGTTTAAAGGCATGTTCCCCCTTCCCCCATCCCGCTGGCGTACCCCCTACCGCTTCTCAGCCCCGAGGAAGTTAGTGGCATTGCAGGGATTTCCCAGCATCCTCAGGGAGCTCCTACCGCTTGACTTTTTCCCCACGAGTGTTGAATGAACTGCGAGCTGGGGTATCCCGTTGCTCTCTTCTTCCTGTAGCAGGTTGATTCCCACCGACAGGCCCATCTCCACTTCTGAAGCTTCCCCCTTGCGGATGGTGAACGAGGTTCTTGTTAAGATCAACTTGCCCTCTCCTGTGCATCCGCATTTAAGACGCCATGCTGCGAAAACCACCTCCACCGCTTTGCCGCTGCCAATATTTCAAACGCGTATTGAGCCGGCTGAGGTGACAACGTATCTTTTATTCATCGCAGCCGTCTCTCTTTCTTGATGCGGCAGGCCAGGGATGTATCCCAGAGATGATTCTGAAAAGCTGTTCTATATTGTCACGGCTTAACCTACAGCTTGAAAACTGTGTCGCTAATTAATCACCTCTCCCCATTCATGTGACGGTGGATTTTTTATCTCCTCCTTGCAACAGATGTGATGAATTCAATTAAAAAGCAGGACAGCTTAACTAACACACAGGCCGACATTCACACGCTCACACTCACACACAATAACACATTATACCACATGTAAATGTGCTTATTAATAAAAGCAAAAACAGGTTTTCAGGTCATTTTGTTTTCTTATGGATATATAGTGATAGCAGTTGTTGAACTCCTTTATTATCATTATGTTTTTCCTTCCTGTACTGGTTATCTCCTCAGTGGCTTAAAGTGTGTTTGGCCTCCCCTGCCTGCTTATTGGCTGTCACGGGTGATATTTAGTAGTTAATGAATATTATGACTTGGGCTGCTGCTAATTAGTTGTTTAATGTCTTCTGTGGCTCTGAAGGAGGTTTGAGGAGTGAGAAAACCCCCTCCATGATGTCATAGTGATACCATCAGGTTCAGCTCATCATTTAAAACAGAAAGTCTATTTTAATATTTTGTCAATAAGGAGTGCTATTCTTAAATTGGTGTGTGTGGTTTTTACCTGTCCAGGTGCGCTGGGGTGAGAAGGGCTCGACAGAGGAGGGGGCCAGGCTGGAGAAAGCCAAGAACGCCGTAGTGTCCATACCAGAGGACGTAGAGGAGCCAATGATCAAACGTCCCACCCAGAAGCCTGCCCCCACCTACCATCAAAACCAGAACAAATGGTACACTCCCATCAAGGTAAGCGCTACAGTCATATCCCTGCTACTGATGTGACTGAATACATTGGGTTCATTTTTCAGCCAGCATCATTTCAGTTCTCTTCCCTCTAATTATTATGTTTGTCATTTGGTATATTGGGTAACACAGGCTAACAGTCCACTTACTAGCTCCTTTAAGCTTCATTTCATTCAGTAAATGAAGCTGGCTCAGGAGTCATCATGTAACATAAGTGTGGAATTTCTTATGTGAAGGGAGAGATGATTTTAACCCCAAAGGCCATCCAAGAATCCTAGAGTTTATGAAATTCCACACTGAGGTCACATTATGATACTGGAGCCAGCTGAATAAAGACCGTTAGAAGCTCCTAAATGCTAGTAAGTGGTCCTTTATTTTGTCATTTGGTCAAAATTACTTTCATGTTTTTTTTTTTTTTTTTGCTGTTTATTCTTAATTTTATTTTCTTGGTGACCGAACACGTTGCTGAACCAAAACCTATTTTTCTGTTTTCTCAGGGTCGTCTTGACGCTTTGTGGGCTCTGCTTGGACGGCAGTATGACCGAGTTTCCCTCATGAGACCCACATCTGCAGACAAGGTAAGTCAATGAAAACTACATTAACAGTTTCCCTTTTTCACATTTTATTTGCAGAGTGGCCAAAACTATAATCCATACATACATATACATACATATATCATGATGAAGAATATATGTAGAGGCATGCAAGACTGAATAAACAGGGATGTGTATGTGGGTGTTGTACTGTAGGATGTGTGTGGGATGCAGTAAACCAGGGTCCCAGTGTTGTGTTGGGCTTCTAGCTGCACGAACCTGCAGCCTGAAGGGAGTGAGTCAGAGTCTCATCAGTGGTCATTGGTGCAGTTTATTGTATTCAGGGATATAAATAGAGATATTTGCAACAGTAAGCAGTGTGGATTCATATTTCTTTTACTATTATTAAAGCCCTATTCCCCTATATGACATAATTTGAGTATTTTTATACTTACCAATGTTCTGAGTCACCACAGTTACAGTTAAGAACTCATTGTTTTATTGCAGTATTGGAATGGAGGTACAATCATTTGTGTACTGCCTCTTAGCAAAGGAAGCTGCTGGCACGAATTTAGCATTGTGTTGTTGTTACCTAACTGGGCTGATGTGAGCTGCAGCTGCAAAGGCTCACTGAAGGAAGCATGACAGGGACAACCTAATATGGTCACACAACTTTTCTCAACCTCCATCAGAGAAGGAGGAAACATATCTGCCCCACAAACTGACACACTGAAACCCGACGCCCCGCGGGCGGTTAGTAAAGTGCGCTGCTCGCAAACCGCCACCAATTCAGAGTTAACCAGATGTTATGATATGTTCTTAGCTTTCTAAGGCAGCAGTCAATCCACCAAACCACACCATCTGCTGTTGACACTGAGATATATGTCTAATCTCAACATGAATAGCATTGATTAGAATCAGTTTGCAGACTGGTGTAGAGTGATAAAGCATTTAGCTTTTATTTCTTGACCAGATTTCATACGCAGCAACAGGTTTTCATTAGCCTCTTCTTCTGAAGTCACACTAACAAACTTTTATGCAGTGGTAGCGAGCACAGAAAGTCCCCTTCTGTCCTGCATTAATGCTGCATACATCTCTGTTTTGAATGTTTGAAAATAGAACAGTTGCTCATTTACATATTTCCAACTAAAAGAATAAATTACATTTGATGCTGAAACAAAACCAACAAATTGCTCTTTGAAACACTTCCCCTTTGTGAATAAGGTAGAATATTACAGAAGTGGCACTGGCAACTTTGACTAGTGTGGTCGGTCCTTCTGATCCTCTTCCTCCTCACAGAGCTCTGAGAGCAGGACCCAGAGTTTTTTAAATGGTTCACAGAATGATGTCACACTGCAAACGTCTCAAGTGGAATAACGTTAGCTGCTCTGAAGAACATGGAAAAAACCGAGCTGGTTAGCCAGCTGCGAGCCTGCCAGTTGCTGCTCAGGGCGTCACAGTGCTTTTTAGCAGAACTTAGAATGCCAGAAAATGCACTATAAAAAATAAACATCATCAACATCTGTAGGTTGAATTATATATTCAGATCCATAGATTGACATCATCTTGGTTGCATATAACCATTGTTCTAACATCTTTTCAATTACTATATTTCAATATTTGGTTAGGACCTGCTACACATTAAACTATAGTAACTCTCAAGTGCTGTCAACAGCAGTTACGTGTAACCTAGAGGTCTTTTGACCTACAAATTACCACATTAATGCTTTCTTTCTTTGTTTCTTTGTTTCTTTCTTTTCTTTCTTTCTTTCTTTCTTTCTTTCTTTGTCTCAAGCAGTACTAATGCAGGCTAGCTATTACTCCCTGTCTCAAAACCACAAATCACTAATCTTTGTGAAAGGAAGTACCCTCGGTAAGGGCATAAAGGACTAAAGTATGATGTGAGTTGGTTTCACATAAATTATTTGTCAAATGGACTGGTGCTGTTTATGTTGTGTTATGAGGTTTAATGATGAGGCCTGGCTTCTCATTAGATGACCAAACTTTCATATTCTGCTGCAGTACGCTCACGTGAAAGGCTGCTGTTTTTCATGTTAAAATGACAACGGTTCCCCTGCACAATATTCATCCAACTGTCTAGGTTTTAAGCAGAAAAGGCAGAATGTGGAAACATCATGGCTCCCACTGTGTAAAAGATGATAGATGTTCCCACACAAGAGGTCACCTCAGTTGTTCCGAGCAAACCGTTTGGAAGTGTAGAAAAGTGAAGCCCGCTGGTGAGTAAACCAGTTGTGTCAAAGCTCGTAGGATGGAGAGAGGACATGGAAGAAAAGCTGCCAGTGGAGTCCTTGGCACTGCTGGCTCACTTCATTCATATGCCGATCACTGCGCCAAACTCACTTCTAAGTCTTTGATCAAGACTGTACACAGCGGACACAGGAGAGAATCAAACAGGAGGACACAAAGGCTGTGTGTGTTTGAAGTAATGTCTTAACAGAGCAGTAGTCAGCAATGAATGGCAACTGAATATTGTTCAAAACAGAAAGCATTTATTTTTAAGTGAGTTATGATGTTTTTAAATCCCACATTGGCTTACAGTTGAATTTCTAGCGTCACAATGAATACAAATGCTTTTTATAAAAAGGCAGCCATTTAAGTTATGATTGAATACAACTTTATTTCAACTTTGACTCTTTCAGACTAAATGTTCTGTAACATTGATTAGAAGGAGTTTGCAAGTTATCAGGGAACTGTAATTTTTTTTCTTTTAACTTTTGCAACCTCTCGTCCATGTTAGCTTCAAAGTTCAAATTCATTCATTCTTAGTTGCAAGATCAACAATCTCACTTCAAGGTCCATTTAGTAGCTGTTCTATAGCTTTTGATCAAGACTCACTCTTTGAGGTAAAATTATTTTGTCAGATGCTGTTTCTAAGGTCAAGGGTGGACTTTGAATTTTGTTTTATTTTAGTAAGAAACACCTCAATGTAATAATAATAATCATAATCTAATATGTATTATAAATTTACCTAGTTTTCAGTAATAGATAGAGTCCATGGGCTACGGTATGATTCATAGATGATGCATTTTAATATGGAACAATTTTGTTCTATTCTATGCGGTGCGATGCAATCTGATAGAGTTCTCATTGTTTGATATAGACATTTATTTTTTCATTCTAAACAACACCAAAAAAAAAATTAAAATATCAGTGAATCCCAAGTATTTTTTTTCTTTATGGCATTGAAAAAAATGGAAGATAAATGTATCATTTCATGGTACATTTAGATTGATCTAGGGGTCTGTGTACTGATGTAGTCGAATCTATAACATTAAAACCAATTTCCGAATTGTATTGATTAATCTTTACACCCCTTGTCTTCTTAGAGAGCGTATGTTGAGTCGGTAACTGCTACTGTTGCTGGCCCTCTCCAGCCGGGCCCTCAATGACACTTGTGTGTGATATTGGGCTGAACAGATAAACTTGACGTGATCAAAGTGAGAGGAGTCTGAACTGTCCGGTGGGAGGTTAGGTGTAGATGGCAGAGCGGGCAGCAGTGGCGTGGAGAAGAGAGAGGAGAGGAGCAGCAGAGCGAGGGGAGGCAGCCAGGGAGAAGGGGAGGGAGGGAAACGGTCTTTGATGGCGGACAGGAAACCTCCAGGGTCATGAATTTTTCAGTGGGCTGCATCCGCGGGGTTACAAGGACTCGTACAGGTGTAAGGAAGCAGGTTGTCGCAGACATCTGCTCAGCACGGGGACCCGGGTGTCCATGCCACCCCCTCACTCCCTCCCCACCCCCACTCCTCCTTTGCTTCCATCCTTACCCCCTCCATCCCTCCCTCAGTGCTGCCGCCCGGAGCCAGACTGCTGGATTGTCAGCAGATGCAGAAGACAGACAGAGAGACAGAAAATGAGAGTGAAACAGTTTTTTTTTTTTTTTTTTTTGTGGTCTCACATTTAGCGCCGGAGGGCCTTCAACACCAAAGGTAGAGCGGGGGTGGACACAGCTGCAGTGCCGAACTTGCCCCAGGCACAAATAAAGAGATCTAATGTGGTTTGACTGTGTTGTCGGTGAGACCGGGGAGCCAGGGAGGCACTTCAGAGCCAACTTAGCACAGCAACATCTGCCGCCAAGTTTTGCCGGGGATCGACTGGGGACAGCAGGTAGAGGAAGGTGGCTGAGAGAGAGAGAGAGAGAGAGAGAGGAGAGAGGAGAGAGAGAGAGAGAGAGAGAGAGAGAGAGAGGGAGGTTGGCCTTATTCTGGAGCTCACTCTTTTTGAAGAGGCGGTGGTGTGCATGCATGTGCAATTATTATTTTTTTCAGAAATCTTTTATTCCCTCATTCACCGCCCCCCCACCTTCACACTCTAGGTATTGTTTTCTAAAAGCAGCTGTCTACAAAATGTCCAAACAAGGTGTGCAATGAATGATGCATCACCATACATTAAACCCTCTGTGTCCTCCTACAGAAAAAGACACACAAGTCTAGATAAGCCAAAAAACCAGGAGCAGGCGTTAGCGTTCTTCCGAGTCTGTTTGGATTTCCAGTTGGATTTCCATTTGTTCCTCTTGCTCTCATCTGTTCCTCACCAGGGGGACGTGTGGGCTGAGTATGCTGGTGTGTGTGGAGGTTAATGGTATTATCTGATGGGCCTTTATTGTACCGCTAAAGCATATTTGCCATTGAGTTTCTAAAGTACATTTTTATCATAGTTTTGTCTGTGGGGTGAGGATGGGGGTGCAGCACTACTGCAGCTGTCTTCCTAAATCTTGAAATTTTAAGTAAAAAGTACTCATGAGGTGATAGTTACTGATCCTTCAGGGTGAAAACACAGAAGAAAAACAGAAGCATGTGTCTCCTCCCACAAGCATCTTGGATATTGCTCAAGATCTCTGCCATTTTTACACAACCTCTGCAAACATGTCAACAGTGTCAGGTAAAAAAGAAAGTTTACATGCACATTATAGTGCTGTCGACAAATATTCTAAATTCGATTATATAATCAAATTGCAAAAAACACGGACATTTACCAATTTTGACAGCACTAGTACGTAATCTTCTGGCAAGTAAGGGCAGAGTGGA